TACACTCAATGTACCCCCAATCCACCCAATAAGATATTCCTTGATGTGGGAATCACTGACAGGGCATGCAGAAAAGCCAAGATCATGAGTCATGAGAAAATAAAGCACAACTAGATCAGACTAGGGGGAATTTCATTTAAGATTATTCTTGTCAGAACTTGTCAGGATTTTGGCAAAATTCAGATATGGGCAAAACTGAAACTGATTGATTTGCTCAGTTCTACATCACAGTAAAAGCATAGAAGGCCTGAATTAATTCTGGAATTTTATCTTAAACATTTTTTTGTTTTGTTTTGTTGATTCACATTTACCTTACAAGTGTGATTTTAATTTTTATGTAAGATATACTGATAGCATTAATACTGAATTAACATTAAAAACAATAATGTAAACAAAATTATCTAGTAACCTGATTGAATCCCACTTGGCCAGTTTTCAAGCTATTTTTTCCATTCTTCACTCACCACTTAAGTAGTATTTGCTATATAGAATGTTATAATATTTATACAGTTCCCACAAGGATTCTGATCCTTCAAAGGTACTGTACTAATGACTAAGTACTATTATTAGTCCAAACTCCAGTGTCCAGTATCCAGACAGACACCAACTTCCTCAATCAGGGTAGGATGGCTTGTCTGCTCAGAGCAACTGGTTTTAAGAAACATCCCGCTTGTGAGCATGGCTGTCCTGCCATTTATCTAGTACAGCCAATAGTGATGATCCTCAGTGGATGGCAACACATTTTATAAAGCCAGGGTCTTACACTGAGCAGTCACAACATTAAAACCACCTGTCTAATATCATGTAGGTCCCCGTCATGCTGCCAAAACAGTTCTGAGGTGTCAAGGCATGGACTCTACACGGCCTCTGAATGAGTCCTGTGGTATCTGGCACCAAGAAACTAGTAGTAAAACCTTTAAGTCCTACAGGTTGTGAGATGGGGCCTCCATGAATTGGATCTGGTATTCCAGCACATCCCATAGATGCTCCATTGAATTGAGATCTGGGGAATTTGGACCCCGAGGCAACATGTCGAAGTCTTTGTCATGTTCTTCAAACCATTCCTGAACATTTATCCAGTGTAGAAGGTGCATTATCCTGCTGAAAGAAGCCACGGCCGTCAGGGAACACCACTGCATGAAGAGATGTACATGGTCTGCAACAATCTCTCAGTAGGTGGTATATGTCAAAGTAACATCCACATGAATGACAGGACCCAAGGTTTCCCAGCAAAACACTGCCCGGAGCATAACACTGTCTCTGTCAGCCTACCTTCTTCCCATAGTGCATCCTGCTGCCATTTCTTTCCCAGGTAAATTATGCACCCACCTTGTCTCAAAGAAACATGATCTATCAACCAGGTAACCTTCTTCCATTGTTCCATGTTCCAGTTCTGATGCTCACATCCCCAGGAGTCAAGATGGGCATTCTGACTGGTCTGTGGTTATACAGCTCCATAAGGAGCAAACTGCGATGTACTATATGTTCTGACACCTTTCTATCATGACCACCATTATGTTTTTCAGCAATCAGAGTTACAGTAGCTCTTTTGTGTGATCAGACCAGAAGGGCTAGCCTTTACTCCACAGGTACATCAATGAGCCTTGGGTGCCTGCAACCCTAATAATGCTAGTTCACCATCTGTCCTTCCTTGCACCACTTTTGGTAGATAGTAACCACAGCATACCAGGAAGACATGACAAAACTTGCCATTTTGGAGATGCTCTGACCCAGTTGTCTATTTGGCTCTAGTCAGAGTCACTCATATCTTTCTGCTTGCCCATGTTTCCTACTTCCAGCACATGAAATTCAAGAACTGACTGTATTGCCTAATATATCCCACCCCTTGACAGGTGCCATCATAACGACAGAATCAATGTTATTCACTAGAAATGGGGGCTTCATATGACCACTTGCACAGGTGACTAGTTTGATGAACACCAACCCCCAGACTCCACCGGACCACTGACCATACAGCGCACAAGTCCAGCATCACTTTCTGTGCCCCAATCACAGCAGTAGCTTGGCTGCTGCAGCCCTGCCTCCCTGCTCGCCCAGCCACACTGGCAAGGGAGCGGGAGGATGGGTCTCTCTGCTCAGCCACAGAGTGGCTGGACAAGCAGGGAGGCGGGGCTGCCATGCTACTGCCACGATTAAGGCACAGAAAATGACACTGGTCACACACATTGCATGTTAAGTGGTCCAACAAGGTCTGGGGTGAGTGTTCATCAAGCCATCCACCTGTGCCAGCAGGCTTCATGTTCGTATACAAATACAAAGCCCCCATTCATAATATTCACTTTACCTGTCAGCGGTTTTAATGCTGGGGCTGATCAGTATATGTGAAGATGCACTTCCTTTTGCCCTCTTTATATCTATTGTCAATTTCTTTGGCTAACATCAAACTGAGACATAGGGGCAAATATATCTTCCTGGTTCCACCAAACTATGCATTTTTATAAGTTAGTTTCACATCTCATCTTAGCTATCTTTTTTTCTAGGTAAAAAAGTCTCTAACACTTTGCTTTTTCCATACTCCAACCTATGGATCATTCTGATGGGAAACCAAGTAAGAACCAACCAAAAAAGATAGTTTAAAAACAGATTAAACAAATCTGAAAAGGTAAGACTGTCAAATAAGTAATTATGCTTACATGTGATCTCTAAAAATGAAAGGCAGGATCCATCTGAAACAGAAGTGAGAGAGAGGGCTACTGCCCTATGTCATATTTGTGGGTTTCTCACAGGCACTGGGATAGCCACTGTAAGAACCAGAATGCTGAACTAAACAGAATGTTCATCTTTCTGTTTGGCCCTTCTGTCCTCTCTGGTGTCTTTCCCAAGATGGAGCAATGAGAGCTGCAAGGCAATATTACAACTGCAGCCACATCATATATAGAGGCATTATAATACTGGCTGTTTTATGTTAAATTCCTTTCCTAATAATCTTTAGCACTCACTTTGCCTTTTTCCTCAATATGCCTCTGACCTGAGATTCTCTGTGAGCACCATGGCAAAATTTTTCCTTCCCAGTTTGTTACCTAGTTTCAGAAAAGCAAGCAGATAACATATCCCATCAGCAATTCAACAATGTAAATTGTCCTTGCATAGCACAAAATAGAATATAATTCCTATGGAAGATGGTTCAGAATACAGAAAGCAAAAGAAGTTCAAGACAACATGGGAAATATTTTTAAAAATATATGAAAATAGTTGTTTTTAAAGAACAAAGTGCAAGAATTAAAGATCTGTTCTCTACAGAAAAGAAAGCAGCATGGAAAAGAGTATTGTAAATAAAAAAGATCACAATTTTACTTGATTACTTTGTACATGTAATGCCACCAGTGATACATCACTAGTATTAAAGATATCTAGAGCACAATCTTATTACTTCGCCCATTTATCTATCACAAAAGAAGAAAAATCAACATAGACATTTCATGTTATAAGCTAGTAGTGTGCCTTGGTGCATGATACTAGATTCCTACACCAACTTCTAAAACAGTGCCAATTTGCTGTTGAAATTTGAACTAATGAATTCATAACAACATAATTCTTAGCTTGGATTCCAGACATTGTATGGCAGAGCATTACAGTTATTTCTGCCAAAACTAATATAAACAATTGAACATACAAACACTGAATGCTACATATATGTATTTTGGATGACCTGGCACTTAAAATCCATTATTGCTCTCATCATCATTTTTTTCATTTTACACCTTATAACTCAGCAAAAAACATGAAATTTGTAACTAACAACTTGCTTGATTATAGAGAATGTAAGCCATAGCCTAACAAACTATCAATGATCTAAATGAAAGAGCTAGTGAGGTTTCATTGTTTTAACATACCTGGAACTGTTTCTTGAAAGGCAAACTGATCCTGTCACTCAGGCAGCTTTATTATTCCTATATAGACCATTTCAACTGTATAGCATTACGTTCTTGCAGTGCTAGGATAGTAATATATGCATCCCCCACTTTAAAGAATTAGCTCCTTAAGCCTCAAAGTAACAACAGGGGAAGTATTGTGCCAAACTACAACAATCCCCTAGCTGCAAGATATTTCAGCTTGGGAATCTGCTGAGAGAATATTGCTAGTTTTATGTCTGTGAACCAAATGTTAAGGAAATTAGCTAGGACCTCTGTGCCACTAGAGATCAACTGTCCTTCCCGCCTGTCCACCTCAACTAATATTTTATGCAACTGTACCCATGCACTTATGCCAACAATTTCTGCTCCTCCCGACTGTATAAACACTTGTTCATATTATCTGAGCTGCTCAGTGTCTGGTGTTTTATTCACCTCTAGCGCGTTTTGCAATACACGGCGACTAAAGGATCAAAGAGGCCGTCAGAAAATGTCCTATCTGCGCTCACGTTTTGGGTTTCCATCAACTCTCTAAGAGGAAAAGGCCAACTACTTCCTTCTCCCTTCACCTCCCCCACCCTTCCCACCGAAGCGCGCGCGAGAACACAGACACACATACACACACACACAATGCAAAGGCCCATCCCGCCTGCAAGTGGAGTGCGAACTGGCACGCACACAGACACACGAATCCCTCTTTCTCTCCCTGCGCCCTAGAGGAGTGACTTTAATCAGCCCAGCCGAGTCTCCTCGACGAGGGGGATGAGGAGAGGCAGCACCGACTATCCGATAAAGTTCTGCTTAGGCTCCTCAGACTGTAGGCGTTTCAAAGAAAGAGGGCTGAGGGGGAAAGGATCCTGAGGTGGCTCCTTCAACCCCCCATGTCCGTCGTTACACCGCGGCCGCCCACACGCCGGCCCAGGCAAGGCCGCAAATCCACCCCCCGCCCCAAGAGAGGCCTTGGTGGTCCTTCTATTTCAGTTTCCTATCAGCCGCGAGCCTCCCCCACGTACACCACCAGTGTAAGGCACGGTGCCGGCGGGCAAGCAGCCACCCTCGCTCCCTCCCACCAAACAGGCCGGGCCGGGTCGGGCTGGCCCGCGTTCCCTTGACGGACTCCATTCCCACCTCTTGGTTGAAAGCATTCACAGCCTCCATGTTGTCGTTCGGTGGCCTGCGCTCGCGCGCGCACCAAACAGCCAGCAGAAGGTCGCGGGACGTCGTTTGCGGCCGCGTCCCGCCTTTAGGGCCTGGGCACTAACATGTCGGTTTGGCGGCAGCCCACAGCGTCTCGTTGGCGAAATCTCCGCGCAGAGTGTCTTCCCCCAGCGGGACGGAGAAGTCCACGCCGCGAAGAGCACCCTGGGATAGCTCAGGCCTCCCGGCCTCGCGCCACCCATCGGAGAAAGGGGGAGGAGGGAACAGCGGCGTACGGAAACCTTAGACAAACAAACCAACGTGCGCAAGCGCGCGCTCTGTGGCCGCCACGTGACGGGCCGCCTTTCACCCTCCGTTTTTCCTCGTTTTTTTTCCCCCCGGAGAATCCCCGAGTCTTTACGAGGATAGATTCGTTCCTCGCCTGCACGGTGAAAAGGTGAACTGGGCACCAGAACTGGATCCTCGTGGAAAATAATTTGGTCCAATTAAAATAGTGGGGCGCACGAGAATGCGCCTTCTGCTCTACAGTAACAACTCCCAGTGCGGTTACTTGTCTGGACCATGTCATCTGCTAGTCCGCAAAGTAGTCACGGGATCTCGAGTATGTGGATGCAAAACTTGCGCCCACGTAAGGAACAGCTTTCCTTGAGGAGCAACCAAGACTGGGAGTGCGGTATTCAGACGCAAGGACAATCTGCACCAATAAACCTTGCTCAACTCAGAAAATTCCGAGGCTAGCGGTTGGGGATTTAGTAGTCTTTGTGAGTCCTCGGCCACTTTAGTTTCGTTTATTTATCAAAGGCGTACTCCTTTTGGCAGAATCATGATCTCAGCGATAATCAGTTCAACAGCAGGTTATGAAATTGTATTCTAAGGACAAATAAAATCTGAAATTTGAAGAGCCCATCCCAGCCAACGGATGAAATCAGATGGGATGCTTGAGAGGAGGTAGTCCAAAAGAGAGATTTGGCAATCCTGTCAAAATCTTGACCTTCCAATGGTTGTGGATCCACGGGGTTGCTTTGATCGCAGTCGAGTGCTCTCGCTGGCATTACGGAGTCCATTCCATTCTGCTTCTTGATAGCAGGGAGCTTTGGTAAGCCTGCACAGGATCCCTTAAATCCAAATTGCCTACATCCAGTTCTTAGTCCTAACTAGAGTGGACCCAGTGGATCAGTGGAATTTACATATGTGCTGGTTTTATCTATTTGTAAAAATTTAGTATCATTTGTAGGCCACCTTTCTCCCAATGAGGACAACTCACAATACTGGAACAAGCAGAATTAAAAACACAATAAATTGTGCATTAAAAGAATTAAACCCTAATAATAATTACAAATACATTCAATAATTTAAAATATTAAAAACAAACTTACTAAGCTAAAAACTAGCGTGTAGGACTCAATTATTAAAAGCCTGTCTGAAAAGGTGGGTTTCATCTGTCAGCAGAAAGATAAAACAGAGGGGGGCAACCTAATCTCCTGACAGACAGCATTCCACAGTCTGGGAGCTGCAACAGAAAAGGCTCTCTCTTCTGTCCCCATTAAGCATACCTGCAATGGCAATGGGATAGTGAGGACTGCCTCCTCTGAGGATCTTAAGAGCCATGAAGGCTCATATACAGTGGTGCCTCGCATAGCGAGGTTAATCCGTTCCGGATTAACCTTCGCTATGTGAAAACATCGCTGTACGGATCAGAAAAAGCCATTGGAACGCATTAAACATCGTTTAATGTGTTCCAAAAACGGCAGAAAACTCACCGTACAGTGATGTTTTCTGGGTCCGGCAGCCATTTTCGTGCCCTCAGTAAGCGAGGGGAGGGCGCGAAAATGCTGTGCGCGGCCATTTCGGCCGCAGTGAGACCGCGGATCAGCTGTTCGGTGGGTCAAAAATGGCCGCCGGAACACCCGAAATGGCCGCGGGCAGCGTTTTCGCGCCCTTGGTAAGCAAGGGGAGGGC